GCCAATGATCCTTGGCTACCCGGAGGAGGCGGTGATCCGTGGAGCGGCTACAGGACAACCGGGAACTACCACATGGATCCCAACATGGGCAACTTCCCTGGACCAGCTGGAGGTGATCAGAATAGCTGTCCGACTTGCGGCAGCTATGCGGCTTGGAACGATGATGATGGTAACAGCACCAACACCAGCACGGACGATGAGGCGCCCCTGGATGACCCGGAGGCCAACATGACTGTCGAGGACGCTTACCAGGCCTATGTCTTCGCTCGAAAGAGGTGGCGGCGATTCGCCCAGAAGGGACCTCGGAGGTACCGCAACAAGCGAAGCTATGCTAGTTTCCTTCCTCCAGGAGCTTTCGCCGGTGGCAAGGGCAAGTCTGGCGGTGGTGGAAGGTTTGGCCATGGTAAGGGCAAGTCCGGTGGCTTCTCCAGGAAGAACCCGAAGAATAAGGATGGCATGATCATGAAGTGTCACAGATGCGGGTCCGACGAGCACCTCATCAAGAAGTGTCCGATGCCTGATGGAGGTGGACAGGGACACATGCATGCCGCTGAGAAGCGGCCAGCCTTGGCTCTCACGGCGATGGATCCCAGGAGCTGGAGCAGCGGTGGGTTGCTCCCGGGCGTGGCTTTCCACACCCAGGCCAGATCCACGGTTTCGAGCACCAGTTTCGTCAACTTGGAGCTGGACAAGCTGAGGAGTGTGTCCCAGGCCGGCAGCGAGGTGAGCTATGCTGCTAGCCGTAAGCGCCCAGAGCAGAGCTCAGTGGTCAGCACACCTCGACGAGTACGACAAGCACGGGATGGAACTCCCCCGGCACCGACATGGTCTCCGGGGGCAACCTCAGCGTCATGGGAGCGTCCATCAACACCGGCGGATGAAGCAGAACACTTCGACCTCGCGAAGGACGACAGCACTACCAGTCTTCATGACCCAGAGATCTACCCGTTGGTGGAAGGCGCCCGAGACCCCCTTCATCCTCCACCTGGACAAGCCCCAGATCTGAGCACGGTCCAGGTGCGAGAGCCCGAGAAGGAAGAAGAGAACCTCAGGCAGCAGAACACTGTTGGCTTGACGAAGCTGCTGCTTGGGCTGGATCGACGCGGCGGTGGAAGTGCTAGCGGTGATGATGGACGGAGCTCAGTGTTTCCGTGGTGGGAGAGTGGCCAGAGCAAACAGGCCACGCATCAGACTTACCACTTGCGCACCAGAATCCGCAACGGTGAGGTTGGTCTGCTTATTGATCCGGGAGCTCATGACAACCTCGTTGGCGAAGGTACGATGTTGCAGATGGCCTCCCAGGTCAACAGCCAGATCCACAACCAGAAGCTGAACCGTGCACTCGATGTGGAAGGAGTTGGCCAGAACAGCCAAAGGTCTGTCATGTCTGCCAAGATCGAGATGGCATTGGAGGCAACGAGTGGGGGCTTGCTGGACAGCTCCTACACGGCGCCGGTGATCGGCGGAAGTAATCTGCCGCCTTTGCTGGGCAACAAGGCGCTGCGCAAGCATCGAGCCATTTTGGACTGCGCCTCGGGCACCCTCATACTTCCCGGAGAAGGTGGAGTTCAGATGGAGGGTTCGCCTGGCACCAAGGTGTTCGCCCTCGAGTTGGCGGACAGTGGTCATTTCATTCTCCCGATCAAGCCGCGCGAGCCTCCTGGCCTGGAGCGCGGTGGACTCAAGAGCAGCAAGGAGTTGGACTTCGCGATGGGCTGCAGGCGCGTCGTGGAGCCGGCGAAGACCAACTGACCGGAGAATGGAGCGCTTCAGAAGAGCGCTCTCACTGAAACCTTGGGCCACCAGATGAGGCATTTCCTTGCTGACAAGGTGGCTTGGGTTTTCAGTGATCGGAATGGGATGAGGCAGCAGATGCTGCAAAGTTTTGGTATGAAGACAATTCATTTCTTCCATGACCTTCACTCACGGCACCAGGCGGAGGTCATGGTGAGCCAACTGCATGAGACTGCCCCACACGTAATGTGGATACGCCTTGCAGGACCGCATGCTGGATCTGGCAACAAGCTGGACATCCACCGGACGGAACATCTTTGCCGGTTGATGAGAAGCCAAGCAGATGCTCAACGCTTGGTGATCATGGAAGCAAACAATAACAGCCAGGTGTGGTCACTGCAACCTATGCGGGAGGCAGCTGAGCAGATGTTCGTTTCCGAACATTTGTGGTGCAGGCTGGAAGATCATGGACCCATGCAACTCCATGGTGAAGGTGGTCACAAACTTCCCGGTGACCTCACAAGCCGAGTGCCGATGTCCGAAGGGCACTCAACATGTGCATCAAAAGAGAATGCATGCGCAGCAGAAGCATGCAAGAGAGCGTGGAGTGATGGCCAAGTTGGCCATGTACCTGCTAGTGGCAGCATCCATGGTGGGTGCCGGAGCCAGACCTATCAGCAGGCAACCTGAGTTTAGCAATGACAACGACAACACAGATCACCTCAAGACTTGCCAGCACTGGAAGGACTTGGTTGGTAATGTCGGACCTGCACAAGTGTTTGTCGCTCCCTCTTCTTCTGATGGCGGACGGCTGGGGTATGCTGGACACACGTCCGGGAGACCGCTGTTAGATCAGTATGCTGATCAGCCCAAGCCATCGGGAGGGGAGAAAGAGGACAAACATGAGCAGCTGGCATTCCCAACTGAGAACGCAATCCGACAGAAGGCGCAAAAGGCCGCGGGACACGTTGCACAACCCCGACGCAAGGTGGTTGAACAACATCATGATGACTGCGGTGAAGATTTGACGCCCCTGGGTATTGAGTCACAGTTTGCACACGCCACAGACAACGATCTCGTTTTATATGACGAATGCCCGGACTGCTTTGTGGACTTTGGAGCATGCTTCCGTAGCTGTTTTCACGGGAGCGGGACCGAACAACCAGCAGAGGTTTGGGCAGAACGTGGAGTTCACCACATCGCAGAGCTGGTAGCCTTGAGCAGCCAGGGAGGAGGCAGCCACGTAGATGTTTGTGAGCTATTTGGTGGCGGTGCAACAACCACACATGTTTTGGTCCGACGCTTTGGCAGAAGGGCTGGAATCAACTTTGAGATCATGTGTGGTGTTGATCTCACCAAGAAGCAGGACGTGGACTATCTGTTCACCTACCTGGAGCGCAACGACCCAGAAGTGGTGCTCATGGCACCCCCATGCACTGGTTACTGCAAATGGGGCAACCTCAACCGACAGATCAATCCCGAAGCTTGGAAGAAGTCTCAGATGCGGAGCAGATCTTTGGGACGACTCAGCGGACGAGTCGCAATTTCGCAGCTGAGACGAGGCAAAGCGTTTATGGTTGAACAACCAGCTGGCAGTGGGCTCTACGATGAGCCAGAGTGGAAACAGCTCGAGGATCACGTGTTCAAGGTGATTTTCGAGCAATGCATGACTGGACTGAGGATGGCAAAGGAACCCTTCCTGCCGGTGCGCAAGAGCACGGAGATCCGGGCTTCACACGAGCAGCTCCTCTTCCACCTGCAAAACCTGAGATGCGATGGCAAGCACGAGCATGCGGTGATCGGGCAGTGGAAGGGACATGCAGCTTATGTGGTGAAGAGTGCCGACATGCAAGTTTGGCCCCTGGAACTCTGTGAGAGAATTGCAGCCGGCATCCACGAGTATCTCCTCGGCAGACCCAATCACACCAAGGCTTTTGCTGCTGGCACGCACCGATATGAGTGTCCCGGCTGTCGTGGACATCTTCGTCAAGACGACAAGAGACACTCACGCAGTGGCGATTGCCGGTTCAAACATGTTGAGCCAAGTGATTGGAGATGTCCAGCATGCAGGGCAAACCGACATCGGGCGCACCGCACACACACCCTTGGCCCAGATTGCCAATGGGCAGTGGCACGTGAAATGCCAGCTGGAGGCACGAGAGAACGAAGAGGGTCTCATCCTAGAGATGGACGAGTGCCGGCTTGCAGAGATCCGACCAGCACTTTGAGCGATGATCCCAGGCGAGAGAGTGGAGTCCCTGGCGATCCCGCAGCAAAGCCGAAACCCTTGACAATCCGGCGTGAGCCAGCTGGTGAAGTTGCGGATTATCCCGCAGATCCTGACGCAAGGCGAGCGCTGAAGGCCGCAGATAGTGGATCCAGAACGCGCAAAGCAGACGCTGGCACACAAGCTGAGGAACGCTCCGAGAAGAAGCTGGTCAAGCCTGGTGGCGGACCCCCTGCACCAGATGGTGGTGGAGATGGAGATGACGAAGGTTCAGATCCGGAAGAACCTCAAGGACCCGAATGGTCGCGCTTTGACCTCGGAGCGGCTTTGCAAGCACTACGGAGCGCGCGAGAAGGAGTGGTACGTCGTGCACTTCGGCGACTACACCTCCGGTGGTATCACTGCTCAGCGGCCAAGATGCGAGCTCTTCTCTCTGCAGCAGGAACCTCACGTGAGGTTTTGGCCCTGGTGTCGGAGGTGGTTGACACATGCGCAGTTTGCAGGGCATGGCAACGGCCGGGTATCAAGGCGGCCACATCATCAAAGTTGCCAGAGGCCATGAACATGATTGCGCAGTGCGACTTGCTGTTCTACAAGGACTACGTGCTGTTCCACATGGTCGACATGACGACTCGATGGACAGCAGCGGAGGTCATCCCCAACAGGACGGCCGACTCGATCCTGGCGGCCATGGACAACTGCTGGATTCGCTTCTTTGGACCGCCGCAAACGTTGATGTCCGACCAGGAAGGCGCTTTGGCAACGGACTATGCGGCGGAGCAGATGAGTCGCCGTGGCATTAACCTGCAGCTGGTGGCGAAGGAGCAGCACTGTGGAGTGGTGGAGCGACACAATGAGCTGCTACGACGTCAACTTCATTTGATTGACACGCAGGCTCAGAACGAAGGCCTCCCGACTCCCGATCGGCATCAACACACTGATCGGCGAGGCGATCTATGCCAAGAACATTTTGTTCACTGTTGGCAACACCACACCCCACGAGGCTGTCTTCGGGAGAACTCCACCATTGTTGCAGGTCATGGCGCACGATGCAGCAGCACCTTTAGCAGAACGAGACGCAGCTCGGATCCGGCAGATAGCAGTGAGCTCAATGATTCAAGCCACAGCTCAGCAAAAGCTGCTCATTGCGAACCGCGCCAAGGTGAGACGGTCAGCGGAACTTTTGGAACTCGAGATTGGCGACCTGGTTGAGATTTTCAGGCGGCCAACTACGAAGGACGCCAGCGGCTGGGTTGGCCCTGCCACGGTCTCCGATCTGTCAAGCCTCAGGGAAGGGATCGTGTATGTGCGCTGGCAGGGCAGGCAGCTGTTGGTGCGGACTCAAGATGTGCGGAGAGCCCTTGTGTTCGCGGTTTTCCTCGCACAGCCATCAAATCCCGTGCGGCTTCTACGTGATGCTGTGGAAGCTCAACGAGGAGAAGCTCTACGGCTTGGCTGGTTCAAGCAGGGAGCATGCTGGGTTTCGTGTGAAGGAAACCGGCACTATGCGGAGGTGCTCAATGCCGGACTCTATGTTGCCGGAGTGTGTCAGGTTCGGGCATGGAGTCAATGGCCTCCCAGCGACGGTCTATGACGACACGTTGATCGTGTGGTGGCAGTGCGGTGATCTTCGGAGGTGGAATCATTGCTTCATCACCGGAGCCAAGTACATCAGCTTGGAGAGGCTGACCGAGCAGAAGCAGGTGGCTTTCGTGCAGTACTTCATGGTTGATGACGAAGAAGTACGGCAACTACGGACTCAGGTGGATGACACTCCACACATCGGTGGCCCACACGAACCACAGGCCCCCGAGCTGGTCGAGGTCAAGGACAAAGACCTTGTGCGAAAAAGGAAGGTGAGGGCAATCGTTGATGCCCAACCAGCACCTGGTGAGCCTGGAGAGGAAGAGCATGCAGCGAGTCAAAACGCTGCAGAATCCGAAGAGCCTGATGTGCCGGGCAGTGAGCCAGAACGAGGAACAGCCTTTGTCTCTGCGGTCCCAGCGGTGGCAGATTTCATGGAGATGCCGGAGGTGACGAATGCTGGTGAGCTTCAAGAAGCCGCAGAGCTGGAGCTGACATATGGAGTTCTGGTCTACACCACCGGCAACATCCGGAAGCTCATGAGTCAGATGCGCAAGCAGGACACAGCCCTGGTTTTGCTGTCCAACGACAAGCCCTTTGCAGCCATCGAGCGCGAGCACAATGTACTGACACGTGAAGAAGCACTGGCCAACGCTGAGAGGTGCCGCGAGTCCATGGTGCAGGAGCTGCAGCGCTGGATCAAGCACAAGTCATGGTGCAGAACGGCCAAACATGGTCAGAAGAACATCCTGCGCAGCAAGTGGGTTTTGAAGTGGAAGGCTGTGGAGAACGCCGACAAGAAGATCAAGGCCAGGTTGGTGGCACAAGGCTTCTTGGACACCCAGCTCACAAGCAACTACGCCGGAACTTCCACGAAGTGGTCACAGCGGATCTTGATCACGGTGGCGGTCAACAGAGGCTGGACTCTTCACAGTGCGGATGTCAGTGAAGCATTCCTGAGAGGGCTGACGTTTGAGGAGCTGGCCGAAGCAGGTGAAGACCGCAGAGAAGTTGCTTTGGAGCTGCCTCCAGGCGGCGAGACATTGCTGCGTATGCAGCCGGGCTATGAGGACTTCAACCCCGAGGTCGAGGTCCTGAGGCTGCTCAGACCTGGGTTTGGACTCAAGGACGCACCGAGATTGTGGTTGTTGGCTCTGAGGCGTGCCCTCGCTGAAATTGGGGTCACGCCGACCACGATCGACCCGCAGACCTTCGTGCGGCATGAGCGGGGATGTTTGGTGCTCGTTCTGACGGTTCACGTCGACGACTTGAAGCTTTGCGGAGAGGATAAGATCGTTAAGATCGTGATCGCGAAGCTGGAAGATCGCTTCGAAAGCATGAAGGTCGAGAAGGGCAACTTCACTCACCTCGGACTCAAGCACGAGACGAGCGCGGATGGCATGGTGACGATCAGCCAGGAGCACTACATCCGCGAGTTGAGGTTGATTCCGGAGGAGGAGTTGAAGTTGCAACCAAAAGAACAGTTGGTGGGACCGGACTACCACAAGTATTACATGTCGCTTCTGGGCGGTGTTGCCTGGACCACGGAAGCTGCAATCTCCGGTGGTGGAGGACCTCTTGAAGTTGAACAGGCTGGTTCGCTACATCAAGCAGAACCCCCTGAAACTGGTCTACCACAAGATCACTGGTCCCCTGAAGCTGATGGCCATCACCGACTCGGCCTACCGCGGTGAGGACCAGGACCACTTGGCAGTGAGGAGCGGGCTGATTGTGCTGATTAGCGCAAAGGGCCCGGTTGTCGGGAACAACCCGATACAGATCTTGGAGTACATCTCCAAGAAGCAATCCCGCGTGTGCCGGAGCACGTTTACGGCGGAGCTCTACAGCGCGCTGGACATGGTCGGCTTGGGCTTGAACATATGCATGATGGTGAATGAGATCACCAATGGTGTGCAATCAGCAGCACACATGGCAGACAAGCTCGAGTGCGGCAAGATCACAGAAGGCCTAGATGTGGCCATCGATGCAGATGCCGTCTTCCGGGCTTTGGCAGCCAAAGAAGTGAAGACGCCCACGGACGCCATCATGTTGATCCACGCCTTGAAGTTCAAGGAGTGGTTGAAGACAGGCCAAGTCAAAAGCCTGATGTGGATCGACACTAGAGACATGCTGGCGGACGCGTTGAACAAGGGCTCGATTGACAGAGCCGCTCTGAGGACTGCAGCCGAGGAGGGGATCTGGAAGATCGAGCACGCGTTCAAGACGCACCAGGAGAACATCAAGCAGGCCGGGAACATCAACTTCTGAGGCCAGACGGAGCAGCAAAGCTGCCAGCAGACAACCTGAGTTTAGCGGTATTTCCCCGGAGCCTGCAGGCCCAAGAACACTTTTCTGTACAGGCCCCTCGGGCCTACCTTGCCAGAGATAGATGACTCGCCCAGCCATGGGCGCTGCCGGAAGAAAGGGCGGTGCTGCGATGGGGAGGCCGCTTCGCTTGGGTGAGTTCGAGTTTGCCTATAGTCATGGGGCCTGGGGGGGAGGAAGGGGAGGGGGAGGGAGCCCAAAAAAGCCGTTAAGGGCTTCATTCCCTCCCCCCCCCTCCATCCCCCCATGACTATAGCAGCAGCCAAGAAAAAGTCACCCGGGTCTATCAATCTGCGCTCTTGGCTTTTGGCAGGCGGAGATATGCACGGCGGTGACGATCATGGTCTACGCTCTCTTCATAGGCGTCGAGTTAGAGCTGCTCGGACCTTCGATTGGTGTTGACCCCGGATGAAAAATAAGCTCAGGTGATATCCCCAACAGCATGCGGTGCTCTTTTTAGTGCTCGCACCACCCCGCAGCCCTCGCAGAACCTCGCGCAACCCTCGTGGAACCCTTGTGGAACCCTGGTGGAACCCTTGGTGGAGCTTTCGTGGAACCTGACCTCAGGGCCGCCCCAAACCACCCCGGAGCCTATCAAAGCTTTCAGCTGTTCGTGAATAGGGGTGCGTTTCCTTGTCTGGGTTGGGGAATCAGGCCACTTTTGGAGGGGGGCCCCCACCCCTACACTGGGGTTGAGTAATCCGGGGTCAAAACTTCTCGCCTTGCTTCGTGACGAGAAAGATGCTGATCCTTTTTAGCTGGGGTTGACGGATTCAGGGGTCAAGCTTAAATCAGGAGTCGGCCCTGACGATTTCTTCAGCAAACCCGGGTGAATGATTCCTGCCAAGCAGAACTAGATAGAAAACCCATAGCCTGCTAGCACCCCGCTCCCTTTTCGGGGGTAAAGGGAAACCAAACCGAACACAGATGCCATTTTCCCCAAGAAAGGACACACTCATAGTGCGCAATGGCCGCAGTGGTTCAACAATTAGGGTAACCCCAAATATGCAAATATACCTGGGAATAATATGTGGTGGTGAGAAGTTTTGACCCATACCCCAATGTTCCTGGTCAAACGGATGGTCCAAAAGAGCTCCAGCTGCACTTTGGTGGAAGGCTGTAGCATAGATGCAAACATTTTATTCCACCAGCGCGGGTTGCAACAATCTCCCGAAGTACCGTCCAAGCAGTTGCTATGGACCTGGCTGGGTGGGACTTCGGATGCCACGCCCGCCGAAACCCGAGCTTGCCCAGAAGAGTCCGGGTCGTCTCCCGGAAAATGCGTTTCTTTGGGCTTTCTTTGGGCTTTCTTTGGGTTTTCTTTGGGTTTTCTTGGGGTTTTCTTTGGGTTTTCTTGGGGTTTCCTGTGCGAACCAACCATCAAGCCTTTGCCAACCGCCCAGCTTCAAGACCTCCCGCCTTTCCTTCCGAGTGAACTCGGCGTCTCGGTTTTATTTTTTTCGTTTTCTCTGAGGCGAAGGGAAGTCCGAGGGACCAAAAAAACCGCAAAATAGTCGAAAAAGAAACGCCTGGCGTCTCCTTCTGAAACTGTAAAAATGGGTCGACGACCCCGTTACTTTAGGTAACGACCCCATTTTTAAGGGTCAGAAGGAGACTCTAGGCAGAGGAACGCGCACACGCAGAGACACCTTTTGTTCAGGTAAGCGTTGGTTTGGAGTGAAACCGGCTCGGTGTTTTTTTTGAAGTTTGGCGGCCAGCGCCACGGGGGTTTTCCATGAGGTTCCCCTTTCCATACGGCGGCTTGCCACGAGTCCATTTTGCAACCTCCTCCTTTTAGGGTAGTGTTTCTTCTTGAGACTTATCTGCAAAATCGACCCCAGGCGCATCTCCATGGCACTGTCCAAAACCCCCCCCTCCTAATTGTGTGTCTTTGAATGAATCCAAATGTGTGTGTTTTCCCCAACAGCTGAAAGCTTTGGGGTCTCAGCCCAGATGGGCTCCAAGGTGGTCGGGGCGGCCCTGCGGTAAGGTTCCACGAAAGCTTCCATCAAGGGTTCCGCCAAGGTTCCACGAGGGTTCCACGAGGTTCTGCGAGGGCTGCGGGGTGGTGCGAGCACTACAAAGAGCCCCGCATGCTGTTGGGGATATCACCCGAGCTTTCTTCTTTTTTTTGGGGGGGACGTGTATTTCCATTGGTCGATGTCCCACATAGGTCAAGGCGTGCTGGATCAGCCCCATCCGCAGAGGACTCCATCGCGCTCCCGTTTCCTGAGGATTGAGACCAACTACCCGGAGGCTGCTCAGCACATGGCCATTGAGCCTCGGCAAAGGGAAGGCCAAACGAGAATTGACCGCTGGTTGATTGGTTTTTGTGGACCCAGAGGCTCCAATGCGACTGATTTAGGGTCTTCAAACGGTACCTGGTGTTGAGACCCCCAACCACCTCCGGGGTGTCCAGACAAATCCATAGGAGCCCCTGGGGAAGAGAAATTGGGTTGGTTTCCGGCCGAAATGGATGGAACCATCAAAAATGCAAAATGTTAACCCGTGAGTTGGAAAGTTGGTGAGTTGGTGAGTTGGTTTCCAGCAAAAAAACAACCAATTTGGAAATAATTAGAATAACGAAGAGCCAATTTGAACCAATTGTTGTTGCATTAGCCAATTTGGAACAATGACTAACAATCCAGCCAAGAATAGGGGGGAACTAATATCCCGCAGACCCAAATGTAACCCTTGCACGTTTAGGTGGCATACATTTCCTGACGTCTCCCCCCCCCCTTAAGAGGGGTGGGGAACTAATATTGTTAAGCCCGGATCTAAGCAGACCCTGTGCTTGATTTTGACTTGGGGATGCCCCCTTTTAGTGGGGTTCCGGATTACTTCCGTGCCCAATACCTCCCCAGGATGTGGTCAGACTCGGACCCGCAAAGGTGTGCTTTTGATCGGTTGAGCATCAATGGCTTGCAAAACTGGTTTCCTAGGTCATCCAGCTAGGTGCTCTTTCTCACCAACTTTTTTGGTTGGGAGGGTTCCCCTACTAAAATAGACTACAGAAAAAATTGGGCACCCATAGTCCAACCTCTCTACTGGAGGAGCCAGTTTCCGTTCGGCAAGAAGATTCTCATGCAGTGCGACCCATCTATTTTCAACAGCACGTGCCCAGCCCGCTCGGTGGAAGGCCTTTGTTCTCCCCAACAAAGAGTTCGAAACAAGGAAAAAGGTGGGTAGAGCGCCTTCGTTGGGTGTTAAACGGAAACCAATCGGGGAACCCACAGATTTCGAGGGGCCCCACCGAGGTTTTGGTGAGCACTTTGGTTTCCGGTGGTCTTCCTCATCAAAGAGTGGGGGCTTTGATTGCTTCGTTGTCAGAATGGCTTGGGGTCCGGGTTTGTTTCCGATTCAGCCACCATTTAAAGTTGATATATCTTTCGGGAGGTCTTCCTAAAACGGACGAAATATCACAATGCCCAGATTGCAATTTTTGGGAACCCCCCAAAGGATGGTTGCGAATCTTTGCTGGCATGATTTTTTACCTTTCTCGAAAGGGTTGATTCCCCATTCTCTTCACCCATCGTTCTGTTCATTCTTCTCAGACACCGCCTAGTTTCCCAGGGCTCGACGGCGAAAATGCGGTCCTTCGTTTTTTTTCCGACAAGTTTCAGACGGAGTTCGGCTTCGGTGTCACCCAGGCCCTGTTGGTGTGCCACGTGGGAGGCTCAATGGAGTTTTTGCGGCTGTTCGCGACTTTTCGAGTCGGAAATCGGAGATCCTGCTTGGCAAGGCAATAGTGGCTAGGGTTTCTCACCTTGTTGTTTTTTGCGCCCAACTATGGGCCTATTGGCCAGCGGTCATTGTTGTAGCTAGGGTTTCTTACCAGTGCCCTGGGTACCTGTAGAGTGCATGGAAACTGGGCCTTATTTATAAACCTGGCTGGAGTCTCCATGGCCCTTTAAAAGTGGGTCAACGACCCCCGTTATTTTAGGTGATGACCAACCATTTTTTAGGTGACGACCCCCGTTACTTTTTCGAAGCTGGAAAATGCAAATGTTGTGTCCAAGGGAGCCGTGTCTGGACAAAACAAACAACGAGTTTGCAGGCCCTAAGCCCCGGAACTGGTGGAGAGGCAGCCACTGACAAAGCGAGCTGTCCGGTTGGCCGCGCTTCTAGGCGAGGCTTCCAGGCGAGCCGAGGGAGTTGATATGTTTGTCTTTCAGGTGGGAGGGTAGCAACGGTTTTGAGGGGGCCTTGCAGTTGGCACCCGAAACTGATCCAAGAAAGTCGTAAGAAAAGGCTCTCAGTTGGGATTGGGATTGGGGGGGGGGGGGCCTTGGGCGGAGAGGCAAAGTTGCAAACTGAAAGGACGGCACAAATCAAGCGCCACTGGTTGGCAAAGATCGGGAATCAAATCCAAGGTTTTGCATGCTCCGCCGGATATTCTAAGTGGAACTGCAAAACTTGGGCCGGGCTGGGGCCAACTGCCTTTGGAACAAGTGTAATGTTGAGGCTTTGACAACTCCCTGTGGGTTCTCTACATGCAAGCTACTTTTTGGTGGTGATGTTTGAAGCATATGCAAAGTTCACCCGGACTGCTTTGGTGTTCGACCCTTTCGTGTAAATCCCAACTTTTTCTCGCACGCCTGGTTTCCCTACAATTGCATGAAGAAACAGAGCAATATGCTGGGTATTCACCCTCCCCGCAGGAGTGTCAATCCTTTCTTTGGAGGGGCCTTTTTTCGGATGGCTCAAAGGGAAAAAACAGACTATTTGGGAGTTCCCTCGCTTAGACACCAACCCGCACCCTCCCCCAGAGCCGAATGTCTCTGGGCGACCTATTTGGGTGGCTCGTCTTTTTTTGCCCGTGTGCTTTTCTTTTGGGGTTGTTTGAAACGGACACCCAAAGGACCACTTTTTTTTCACCCATTTTGCGGGGCGTCGGTTTCCAAGAAAAAGACGAGCCTAGGTGGGCCACAATCAAAACCCGGGTAGATGAAGGTTGGTAAGGGACAAGGCCGCCTTCTTAATTCTTCGCATGGTTCTGGGATTACGACCATTTCAATACCGGGTTTTGATTGTGACTCAGGTCTTGTTCAACATCATCTTCATCGTGGAGCTGGTGTTGCGCCTGCGATCTGTGGGGCTCAGGCGCGGCCCGGATTGGTTTTGGGGGCAGGGACGTGTTGGGACACGACTCGTGGTCCTTTTACGGTGAGTTGGGAGTAAGTCGCTCACTGGACCAGCGAATCGTCCGGTTCAACTTTGGTTTTTAGGTTTTTCTTAGTTAGTTTATTGGCGTGTCCATTTGACCTACGAAAAGTGATTCACTTTTCGCAGGAATCTAAAAACAGACAGCCCACTCGAATTGTCCAAAACCTTTCAACAGCAAGTCCTGAGTTCTGACTTCCGCCTCGATCTGTCTTTTTAATACCCACCTTAGACTGGATCCCCAATCCTGAAAACATCCATAGATCCCCCATGTCTTACCATCAGCCTCTGCACCTTACCATTTTTCAAAACCCAACGCACCGTTGCCTCCTCCGGATCAGATGAGCCACAATCAAAACCTGGGTAGATGAAGGTTAAGGGACGATCCCCTTGCCAGAAATAGCTGCGGATATCCGCCTTCTTAATCCTGTACATGGTTCTGGGTCAACCATGTTAATACGAATACAAACTGTGAAAACATGGCCTATCCATCCTTTAGGAATGTTGAACAAGCTGGCAGATTCCATGGTTCACCATTGGTACCGATCGGTTTTGAGCAAGCGACGATCGGATCGGATCGGATCGGATCGGAAAGGTACTGCTCGCCCTTCAACCCTGTGGGCTTCTTCGCCGCTCGGACCGGAAGCCGGAAGCCGGAAGGGCGTTTACTGGGAAGTGCCGAACCAGGTGAGAGGTTCCCCGTTTGAACCAAAAAAAAGACGAGAAACAGGAGCTCACTTCGATGAGTTCCCGAGGGCCGTGCTTTTTTGGGTGGCACTTGCTCATTTTGAGACTTTGAAGCTCAAAAATGTGTACCAAAACGGCGCTTTGGTAAATGGAACCAAAGACTAAAACCTGCGTAAGCCTAGTTCTTTCAATTTGAGCCACAGCCGTATTATGTCCAAAACTCCGAAAACCCATACCCAAAGGGTCCAAGTACCTTGTAAGGATGCACTGAACGACCGCTTTTGACCCCCCCAAAGCCATCCTCTGAGGGTACTTGGACCCTCTGGCTCAAATAACGGTACCAAAATGGAACCCTGGTAAGTGGAAACATGGACCAAAACCTGCGGTTTGCCCCTCCTGTTTAATTTTGAGCCACGCCCACTTGGACCCGGGATGCCTGACAAACGCTCTCAGGACACCTTGATCATTCTCATCGGCACCGGGGAGACGCTCTTCTCCGTGGTGCTGGCCATGATGTCACAGGCCGAGAACCAGGGGCTAGGCGGCTAGGCCGATGGATGGGGTCCCCCAGCAATTGGTGCCCTTTTTGCCGTTTCTTTTTTTGGGGGGAGGGTTCCCCTACTAAAATAGACTGCAGAAAAAAGTTGGTACCAACTTATTCTTTCCTCTCTACTGGAGGACCTAGACATCGAGATCCAGGGAATCCGACTATGGCGCTTGATTTGGTTTTCGCATTTTGGGTTGGTGTCAACATGGGGGCGGACTTCCCGGAATCTAGGGTTTCTGTGTGGGTTTTCTTTCAACACCCTTCGAAGCGACGTGTGGTGAAGGTGATAAATGTCATGCCTGTTCTGGAGCAGTCAGCTCCTGATACGTCGAGGTCTTAGAGTCCAGCTCCTGATTCAGCTGGTAATCCTAACATGTCCGATCAGCTGTGCTCAAAATTGGCCGATATCGGTTGCCTTTTTTCTGCAAGTGTGCTATGACAACAGCAAGGCTGCTCAAGCGGAACTCGGGGGTTGCTACGTAGGTTCAGGAAGTGACGTGGGCGCGTCTTGAAAATAGGAGAGCCCCCCCCAAAAAGGTTGAAAAGACACACCCCCACATCTTGTCTAGGTGCCCCAGCTAGGTGCCATTTTTACCGCTTCTTTTTTGGTTGGGAGGGTTCAAACCTACTAAAATAGACAGAAACAAGTTGGTGCCAACTTATTCTAACCTCTCAAATCTGGAGGGCCTAGTTGTACCCTCAAAAGCGGGCCTCAGGCCCAACCATCTTTGTCAGCCAAACAGACAGCCCTCGGTTTGGATCGGAGCAAATCCCGGGTAGAAAGTCAGCGGAGTGGCCACAAACGTGTGTGAGTGTGTGTGTGTGTGTGTGTGCTGTTTTTTGAGGGTGCGCTTAGGTTGTAACCAAAAGACACCTATACCCTTCAAATGGGGCGGGATGCATCCCATTTTAGAAGGATCCCGAAGAGTGCCCGTGCGACTGAATGGCGAAATGAGTTGGACTTGCGGTCGATCCTTTTCTTGCGACTGACAGTTGAGAACGTGTGTATTTGGCCCTTTCTAGCCAGCGATCTGTATTCGGGAACGAGGCTTTGACGATACAACAAGGGCCTTCAGGAATCAAGTAATGTGAGTGTTTACCTTGTCGAGGAACCCCATCGTCAGTGCACATCCAAAGGAAACAAAATTCGGGAAGATGACGACAACTTAAACCGGCATGTAAACTCTGAACCATATACCATACTCCAAAAACAAATAAAGACACTCCACCCAAAACCGACCTTCTTTTGGCACGCCCCATACACCGGTCGTTCCCCCCCACCCACCCCTCCCCCCCACCCCGCCCACCCCCTCCCCGCCCCCCTAACCCCCGGCCCCTCGCCTGCGGCTTTCGAAGTTTCGGCGCCAGGACAACGCGGGCTCCGTCATGGCCATCGCCGGGGTCATGCGAATCCTGCGGCTCCTGCGCCTCGCCAGGCGGATCGCGGCTCGTTGGGCGGGAAGTTGATGGCGGCGCGGCTTCAACCCGGGGTCGGCGGAGGGCGCGCGTAGCGAGCCAAGTTCGGGGGAAGTCGACGTGGTTGTTTCTTTATTTTTCTTTTTTCTCTGTTGTTTTTGGTGTGCAAAGACGGAAAAAGTTGGGACATCAGCGCAAAGATGCGGACTTTCAGAAGTGTGGAGATGTGGGCCGAGTTTGTCTGCTTCATGGCAAATGAGAGAAACTATGATGTAAGTCCGGAACTTGGATTTGGATCCATGTTGCGATTTCAGGTTTGGAATGGTATGTGCAGAACGACCATAGAGATTGACAACCAATGCTCAGGTTGACGGAAGCAGCCTGCAAAACCATGCTCACAACGGCCTGTCCAAATTGGGGAGTTGCCTCGCAGCCCTGGGCTCCCCAGTTTCCCACAGACGGGTGGCTCGTCTTTTCTTGAGGCGACTTTTTTTGGTGGCAACGGGAAACCAAAAGGAAAACCACAATTTGTGGGGTCCCCCAACAAGCAGGCCACATTTTACCCTAAACCCTTGGTAGGTTGGCAATCCTCAGCTTGCTCCATTTGCTTGAAGCGCCAACATGTACCGTTCATGGTCACTTACCTCCAGAACCAAGACGGGAACAGCCGCAAGCGCGTAGACCGGGCTTGACTTATCAGACTTCAGCCAGCCTGAAGTAAGAAATTGCTCCGCCAAGAAAGGAACCCTCTCCATGGATGAATTCGCTACCCACTGCAAAGCTCGCATTGGAACCCAAAAGAGGGGTCCGCTTCCCCTTTGGACGAGGCATGCTACGTTTTTCCGCCAACATCTCCCCGGGCACTTTTTCTCAGGGAATTGGGAAACCCCCTCCCTTTCAATCACCAAACAACCGATTCGGCTCCAAACCACCCAACATTAGGGGGCAGCTGATTTTTACAAAAACCTGCCGGCTTCTTCCCCGACACCAAGGGGGAAGCTGATTTTGTGAATCTGGTTTTTCGAATCCTAGCTTTCGGACCCTGCCAACATCCCATAAAATATGGGGACCATCATCCCGAGCGCGCGTAGAGCGCGGAGAGGCTGCTGCGCGGCTTCTTGGTGTGCCATGAGTTGCGCTTGCTGGTCACCGGCCGCTCGCCAGCGATCGATGCCATCTCAGAAACGGTTGAGAAACAAAGCAATTGTTTCCCAAACACGTGTGTCCCAGAAAGTTGCAAGAAACTTTAGCAGAGGTGCATTTTGCTTGGATGTTAAGACTCGGTCCCCCAGTAGTGCCCTTTGACCGTTTCATTTTTGGTTGGGAGGGCTCCCCTACTAAAATAGACTACAGGAAAAGAGAAAAAACAACGGGAACCCTTATTCTAATTTTCTACTGGAAAACCTAGAAGAAACTTTATAATGGGCAGGACATGGCAAGAAACCGTGGAAGTGTCCTAAAAAGTTGAAACAAACTTGATAAACATGGGCCATACATGGGAAAGGTGCGAAAGTCGGTTTCGAACCGAGCGGTACCCAACATGGAATCCTGAAGAACGGCTCACCAACCGGGTGAATGATTTGTTTGGAGCCTTGAGGGTGCCATAGTGGGAGGCTAGTGGGACCAAGCGCCACTCCACAAGAAATGGGGAAGGGGTGGATGGACCCCGGAGCCCTCCTGATGTCCCATGTTTCTTAAGATGTCAACAATTTTCAGGATCGGCATATCCCCCATCCTTTCTTCCCACCAGTCCCATGTTTCTTGAGATGGTGTCAAATGCCAATGCCTCCGATCTGCATCATGGGGTTCACAAAGAGAACCCCCGCGTCTTTTGGTTGAACGTCGATTTGGTTTTCACCCAGTCCAAACACTCCCAGACTCAGACGGCTTGTCATACCCAAGGTCAGATGGCGAGGGGAGGTTTTGTTGTAGCCCCTCCTTGGCCCAAGCTCAGTTCGCGTGGTTTGGACATGTAAGTTAGGCCATGTACTTTGAGCCGGTCATTTGGGAGGACTCTCGAAATTGACCCATGTCCCTAGAGGGTAGTGGCAAAGTTTGACTGGTCGTGTACTTTAGCTAGGTCCCTGAGTAGTGCCCTTTTACCAACTTTTTGGGGGGAGGGTTCCCCCAGTAAAATAGACTGCACCCTTATTCTAACAATAAATCCTCTGCTTTGCTTGGCACTTTTGTGGGTGACATGCACCCCAATAGGATGAGTTCCACTTGGATGCGTGGTTCTCAGATTCACCAAAAGGTAAGCGCTGAGAAGGGACACCCAGCACCAAATTCGCTGATTAAAAACATGTTCGAAGCCCTTTTTTCACCGGAGGCTCCATGACCCACAAAAAGCATGGGGTCACCTCTTATTTCAGATCCCGTTTTTCCGACACCCGGGGATCAGACGTGTGGCGACCAAATCCGGAACGGTTTATCCTATGAAGCGGAACGAAATACAACAGCGAATCAGAAGATACGGATCAGAATGTGTCGCCAGGAGAATCCAAAAGGAAACTGCCTACCTAGAGGAATGGGTCCCCAATTTGCATTGAGCCACCGGAATGTTTTTGGGTGGTTTTTAAAGGACCAAAAGGACAACCGAAGCCATTTACCCACATAGAGATATGTTTTAGACACCCTGGTTGGCTTTTTGAAGAACACCATTTTTTGGGTTTCCCGTCACAACCAGAAAGCGTACCCTCAAAAAAGGCCCCATATCTTTCAGAAAGCGTACCCTCAAAAAGGACCCATATCTTTCAGAAGGCGTACCCTCAAAAACGAACCCATATCTTTTGGGTATGTACCCCCTATGTCTTTGGTGTCCCACAAAACGGGTACCTAGAGTCCTCCATGACCCTTAAAAAATGGTTGGTCATTACCTAAAATAACGGGGTCGTTGACCCATTCTTAAAGGGTCATGGAGACGCCAGGTACCCTCCAAAACCTGCCCAGTCGCGCTCGCCAAGCCCCCGCCCAGCCCGCGCTCGCCGCTCGCCCGAAGCGCGAAAAGCGCGAACTCGCGCAGCCGAGGCATGATCCTGGCGCTGCCCACGGTGCTGTGGGCGGGGGTCTTGTTTGGCATCGTGGTCTACCTGGGCACCATGCCTCTTGGCGGCAGCCTTTCGACCCGTGCCGAGCAGTGTGCGTATGACACACTCGACATATATACAAATATGACCATATATATATATATATGTGTACATATGTATACATGTGTATATATATATATATATCGTACCCCCCCTCACTGAATGCAAACCAACTGTTATTGGGTAGCAATTCCTGTTTTCAAAAACCCATGCACACATGAAGATGTCTATCTACATAGACTTGCATACAGGTAGATATATGTGCACATATTCATAGACACACACACAAAATGAATACTTACCTAGATATATATATATATATATTGTATATATATATACATTATATATGCACATATACACGCGTATAAATCCAGACCCCCCCACGGACTTTTGTTCTCCATCGGCGCGGAATTCGATGGATCAGGTTCAGCGTGATTCTGCTGGGCAACGTGGAGGAGCTCCACGACTACTTCGGCACCTTCGGCCTGGCGCTCTGGACGCCCTCCGTCGGATCCGGCGAGGTCGAAAGCCGGTGTCGAAGTCGAATGGTACATGAGAAGGTACCTGGAGTCTCCTTCTGACCCTTGACAAATGGGTCAACGACCCCGTTACTTTAGGTAATGACCAACCATTTTTTGAGGGTCATGGAGACTCTAGGTACCCATGCTGAAATGTCAATTGGTGTCAAAATAGCCAAAACAAAACACTCAAAAAGTCTTTAGGCCCTCATAGGTGTGGTGGGGGGGGGCCCTGGAAGTTTGGTGGGCGAATAAATTTCCCAGATCCTTTTGTTCGACCTGTTTTTGGGAGCGTTGCTTTTGGAAAAGCGCCAACAGAAAGTTATTTTCTATTGGACATCTAGTGTTGCTCTGGAAAATAATGGAAGTTCACTGTTGATCTGGAAATTAAAGGAGACACAATCTGAAAGGTATTTCGAGGTGGCGAATTCCGAAACAGGTATACCAAATCCACCGACAAGAGATCTCATTAGTTATTTTGAGGAGTAAACAAATCTGACACTGCCATTGAGGGGATCTCCTTTGAGAAACGGCCCTGACACCGTTTCGATGTCCCTCCAAGGTTTCCATGGTTCCAAGACCACAATTTGAACAGGCGTATAAGGATCTGTTGATAAGGATCTGTTGATAAGAAGTTTAATTCAAGAGCCTGATGTAAGGGGCCAAACGGCGCGGCTTTATTTTTTAACAGCAGCCATGGCAACGCGATTTGAATGGAGTTGCCATGCAGAAGATTTGATCCCTCGATGCCGAGCGCGTATGGAGCTTTGTCGTAACTTACAAGCTGTCAGCACTCACGCGGACGGAGGCTTGCATATGGGGTATTGCCATATTCCCTCACAACAATCACGTGAAGTGAGAAAGCGAGAGAGGACGGAGCTTGACTCTGTACCAAGAGTCCACATGTGTATTACTGAAGGGAAATCGGCCCTGAGTACCGGGACCATTGAGCGCAGTTGCATTTCGAGGGCAGGGAACGAAGACATGTGAATGTGTGCGTATGTGGGTGGACTATGTGCGTTTGCGTGTGTCCTTTGTGAGCGAAATCCAGTTTCGCAATGTGTCGGGTGCCCCTATTTGGGCACACCCATAATTACCTGGGTACGGTCTTTGTCAGAGCCCATTTTGTTCCATTGGCAGACTTTGACTTTGCCTTTTATTTGTGACAGGCCCTTTTTTGTTTTTGTCTCTCACCCGATTGGCCAAAAAGGTCGGAGACACCTTTCTGCATTTTGGTTTTGGAAGGGCGCCCCGAAATCCTCTCAAATCCTTTGAGCTCCAAATCCACTCCATGGCGTTCGAGCTCGGCCCCCCCCACTTTCCACAGTATTCCTGTGGATGGACAAAATCCATTCTGCACTTGGAAACCATGGTTGAAACGTTGACTCCTCAGAAAACGAACGGGTTTCTCAACAGTGCCGAGGATGGATTTCGCGTCCATTAGTATGGGAGCCATAGGTCTCCTTTTTGGTTGATTTCATTACACAAATGGAGGGCGATTCCTGGTTTATCTGGTTCAATCATCTACCAGGGCCATCTATTTGCCAACAAGGACACCACGTTGATGGGAGCCCTGCAGGAGCCACTTTGTGATCGTCACCATGGAGACATGGCCCGACATCGCGGATGCGGTGCTGGAGGCAACCGAGTTCCGCAAAGTTTCGAGTCCTCGAAACCAGCGCAGAAATCAGGTTTCTGAACTCGAAGTGTCCATAGCAAGGAACACCGCCTGTCGTTTTTGAGACTTCCCGCGTTTAAGGGCTGCTTCTACAGGGAACGTCCCTAAAAGAAGGATAAAGAACACACGTCGCGGTGGTTCTTTGCGAGCCAACCCCCGTTTGAGCGCCAACCCCCGTCGAGACAACCCCATCTGTGGGGTTCTCAAAGGGTTGCCACCGTGTTGTGTTCCTTCGGCTTTTAAGCCAAGCCGTGGGTCAAGAATGGGTACGTGGAGTCTCCTTCTGACCCGAAATAAAAATGGGTCAACGACCCCGTTACTTTAGGTCATGACCAACCATTTTTTAAGGGTCAGAAGGAGACTCTAGGTACCCAAATTGAACTCTGGTAAATGGAAACAAAGACTATAAAACCGCGTAACTCCAGCTCTTTCATTTTGAGAACCACACCCAAATGGATGCCCTCGAAAAAGGAAACAGATGTCGACTGCTCAGTGGCGGCTCAGGTGGCCAGTCCTTTGTGGGGCCTCTACTTCGTGGCGCCTCGGCCATCGGGTGTGTTTCCCCACAGGTCACTACGCCAGAACGAAATAACTTTTGTTTTTTGAACGTGTAACCTATGAAATCAGTGGACAGCAAGTGATTGTGGCAATCAATCCAAAACACTGAATGCCTGTGTCATCGCAGCATCAAAGTTGTGTTGGTTTTGGATTATATGTGGTTTGGATTGGTGATTTCGATTTGAACCCCTGGTTCTTGTGGGTACAAGGGAAACCACCCAACCTCCACCACCGGTTCGGTTCCAATTTCCAAACCCCTCAACACTCATGGAAGCTGACAGGAGGGAGGTTGAAAGACAATCCTTTCGGAAGCCCCCTGTCTACTTCCACACTTGTTGGATAGAGGGTGGACCCAGACCCCCAGGATCTTCCAAGAGGGTCCAGAAGACTGGTTCCACTGTTCCGGCGGGGGGGGGGTCACATTATGGCGACTTCTTAAAAGTGACAATGTCGACTTCTGTGATTTGGGAATTTTCTTGAAAGTGACAATGTCATCACAGGACTGGCCCCCATTTCAGTATCACAAGGCGTATGTTGCACCACCATGACTGGCGCGTACAGCAACCTGGGTCAACGGTTTCCTTTGGGTTTTTGCTTTTGTTCTTGAACGTTAGTAAGACATAATCCCAGCAAATGCGCATGCTTCTGGGGATCGATCATTCGAATACCGGGATCTGTTTTGGGAACCTCGAAAAGTGGCAGTTTCAATGGACACCACCAAAATTGAGTGCAGCGACCTTGGCCAACGGTTTCCTTTGGTCTCCTTTCGTTCTACCCTTGTTCAAGGTCTTCGGCAGCAGTCGAACAGTTTTTGCATTCGGGACCCTCTGGTGGACATCAAGGTGGGTGTTTTATGTCCACCGTCCCCACTTGCCAGGTTGCTTCTTAGAGGGGCCATGTCTCTACCCTTGTCCTTTTTATAGGATAGAAATAGATGGGTTCCACTGGTTGAGGGTTGGGTTCATTCCATTTACCAAAAAAAAATCTATCTTCTCAAAAGGACCCCTATGCTTGGGAAAGCAAGTGCATGGGTGCGAGACTCAAAATGAGACTCCATGTCCTAACCTAAAAGTTGGATTTCGGTTGGATTTGGCGGTTGGTTTTTGGCCTTGGTTTTTATTTGGAGAAAATCCCTTTTCATATCTTAAAGTCTAGCCTGAGTTTTAAAGTTTAGAAATCCCGAAGCTTTAAAATCCGTTTTTTTTTTCCACGGTTCTTTGGCCTTGGTTTCCTTTGGAAAACACGCCGTCTACCTCGAGCCATTCCTCTCGCGCCGGCTGAGGTCTTCATCTGCGTCTCCAGCATGTCGCTCATGAACCTGGTGACGGGCGTCATCGCGGAGAAGTTTCTTGGAACAGCTTGGATTTTCCACAAATATATATATATATATATATATACATATATACATATATATATATATATATCTCTCTCTCTCTCTACGTGGGTGACCCTAAAAAGCTGCGCCCCAAGAGGCGTCTCCGCCAGCTTTTTTTTGTTGCAGATGAGCAGAGACGATCCTCTTGCCGATGGGTTGCTTTGAAGAGCCAAAGGAGCCAAAGGAGACAAACGATGCTGAAGTTGATCCCCCAAGTATATCACTATTCTTTTTTGGGGCAGCCTACGCATAGATCTTTCCCTCCAAAACAGCGGCAAACAAAAACGAAGGGTTTGGTTTGGTCTTTTTCTCCCCAAAAGTTTCCCTGAAGTTCCTTCCAAGACGGTTTGAAGCGAAGGGTGGGTTTTGACATGGGCATGGGTCAAAATTGAACCCCCAGGAGACCGCAAGTTTTAGTCCTTCTTTCCATTTAACAGGGTTCCATTTGTGGGTTACCCAATTTTTGACCCACAGCCACAGTTGCTTTCAGGCTGATCACCACCAGGGACGAGCCGATGCCAGAAGGGCCTCGGGATGAGCAGGAGGCCTGCGGGCCACCTTTGGCGGGCGGGCAGACGTCGGGCAGACGTCGCCGGACCTGAAGGGCTATGACGGACCTGAAGATAGGTGTCCTTTTTGGTTGGTTGGTTGGTTGGTTGGTTGGCTGGTTGGTTGGTTGGTTGGTTGGTTGGTTGGTTTCTTGGTTGGTTGGTTGGTTGGCCGGACCTGAAGACCTTGTTTACTGGTTGGTTTGCTCAAAAAATAGAGGGCCCTTGTTCTACCAACCAGTAAACAAGGGTACCAGTAGAACAAGGGTACCTAACACATCTGTTTTTCCAAAAGGCCACCTATGGACCTGAATCCCGCAAAAAGTGGCTGGACATGAATCCCAACGAAACTGGGTGGCAAGCCATCTGGAAAAAAGGCTTAGGTGCTTTTAGATATGTTTTGCTGGTTTTGTGGTTGGATGTCCGTTTCTTAACACGCTGAAAGTTGTTCACTTTTAGCGGGGATTTAAAAAACGGACAGTCCACGTAGAGATGGCTGCTCTTGGGCGCTTTGGGGTGCCGGGGGGGGGAGGGGCATTTTCTCCGACCCATGCCCCTTTTTGCCTGCAAGAGTGATTGGAAACCAGTTTCATTGCAACCTTTGATTTGGGGAAGTGACCCCTCGTGCTCTATAGACTATGGCACCAATTGAAGATTAGCTAGCTGGACCATTTTTCGTCGAGAAGGGAGCTCTCGTGAATTGCCGAGTTACCCCCAGAAACATCCACATTCCCAATCTGGTAAGGCCTTCCACCGAAGAGGCCCAATTCCCATCCTGGCGTTCCTGGTGGAGAAGCTTCTTGGTTAGCATCCACTTGCCTGGGACCTTTTTTGAAACATGTGCAAAAAGCAGAAGCCCTTAAACACATGCACACAAGCACAAACACACTCACAAGCAAACCAGGGTCCACGCATCATCGGCCAGACCCATACGCTACACACAACACGAATGGGGGGAAGGAAGCTTTGGGAGGTCTCAGGTCCCTGCGCTGGAAGTTGGGCACCCGGGGATCCCAAAGCAGTTGCCAAGGGGGATGCCAAAGCCAAGGCTTGGGTCAGAATAAGGCCAACCCCCCCCCACCCACCCCCCCACCCCCCAAAAAGCGAAAACGAACACAACCAAAAAATCCGGTTTCCTTAGCTGTGGTTGTTTTTTGGTATGAAGCCATCCAAGGAGTCCATTTTGCGCACCAGGGCACCAAACATGTCCATTGTGACGGTGTTGCCTCGAGTTGGTCCGATGACGGCGCTCCATTTGCTCGAAAGAGCGAGTTCTGTGGCTAGCCGGCGATTTTTGGCTCATGAAGGACCCTTGGACTGGGGCGTTCTAGAAGTATTTGTGCAACTGACTAGGTCCCCAGTCGTGCCCTTTTGCCCTTAAAATAGACTTCCCCACCCCCACCCAACCCCACCAAACCCCCAAACCCCTCCAACCAAACCCCTCCAACCCCCCCAACCAATCCCCCCAACCCCCCCTAACTGGCGGCTATCATCAATCTGGAGGTCTTCCAGAAGGAGAAGGCGGCTCTCAAGGCGGATCTCAGCGCCCTGCTGTTGGACGAGGTGGACATCGACGCGCCGTGCTCAGAAGACGTGGCCGTGGTCGTCAACACCGTTTTGGGATCCCATTTTGGGGATTGGGTGCACCGCCCATATTAGAACCTATCACAATTTTGACTCATGGCCACATGCCAGATGTTTTTTCAGTTTTTGTTCCGGTTCTCTTCGTTTTTTAGTAGGAGGATGCGAAAAACCCCATGTTTTGCGTTCTCTTCTTTTTTTTGTAGAAGCGATGCAAAAAGAAGAATCGTGTTTCGCTGCCATGCCAACGGTTGGAAAGCGGGTCAGTGTCAAGACATCGGCTTCACCCGTAAATAGTAATGGGTGTGGCTCAAAATTAAACAGCAGGGGTTACGCAGGTGTTGGTCCATGTTTCCACTTACCAGGGTACCAATGTGGTACCGTTTTTCGAGCCACAGCCATATATGCGGCATGCCGAAGGAAGTTTGGAAGTTCTTCAGAAGATCACAAGTACGTCTATCGCCTGTGAAAAGAAGCATCGTAAGAGATCCAGGGAATGGCCTGTGGAGGGAAAACCGTGAGAACCCTGAAATTGATCCGAGCGAATGGTCCGATTTCGACTGGGGAATGGGTCGAGCGAGAAAGGCCATGGCTTTGTCTCAAAAAAAGAAAATGGCGGGGCTTCCTGTTGGTTTCAATTCGGTCCGAGGGCAAAATTAGATGGACATTTCCATATGGGTTTGTCTCAAATCGGAACACCTGGAGTTCGGTGTCCTTTTGGTGTCGCCAGGCAAAACGGGCCCCGCGCCTCACAGCAGGACACTCACATGTTTCTTCCCGGCGGACCGTCCAAAAACTGCGGCGCGATGTGTTTGGGCCTCGGCCCCCCTTTTTTGGGATGGGTTTTAAAGGGCAGCCAAAAGGAACGTCGAAAACCATTCTTTAAGACACACCCCTGTAGTTAAAGTTGTTGAAGCCACCCCATTAAAAGGAGCTCTAATTCCCTAAGCCCCACCATCCATACCTGCCCATTTTCCCACAAAGTCTCCTTCCCTCTTGCGCCACATGGTACCCAGGTGAACCCCCCACAAAAACGGGGGCCGTTTTCCTAACGCGAAAAGCTTTGGCACCATCGCAAGCGAGTGGTAAGATTCATCTCTTGAACACAAAGTATACTCAAAAGTGGAACACCCCATATGAGTCGTTTCCAAAATAGTTGTGTTTTTGTTGTTTGTTTGTTTTCGCTGAAGAGAAAGCCCTTGAGAAGACCAAAACACAAAACAGAGCCGCGCCCCATATTTGTGTCTTCTATGATAGGTGGTCTTCTTTTCATGTTTTCAAGCATGTGTGTGCAACTTCTCGTAGAGTTCCCTTCGTCAATCAACTCCCGAAAGCTTCGCGAGGTGGACCTCTTCGGAGGTTTGTTGGAGACCCCCACCCTGCGGACCTGGCTGCACAAGCTGCAGGCGGGACCCGACGACGAGACTCGAGCCGCGGTCCATGGCGGCCGGCGCGCAAGTTGCGGTGCGGCAACCGGTTGCCCTATGGTTCAGAGGGTCCCAGTACCTCATATTCAGTGGATTTGAGGAATCTGTTGACGAAGTCCCTTGAACCAATCCAAAAGCCGCAAGTATGGGGAACTTGGGCCCCTCTGGGTTCATGTTTTGGAAACCTTAAGGGGTTACCGCCTGGTCTTGGTTGCAAAGCCAACCGTCACGGACCGGCTCCCCTAGAGGAAGCCAAATTCAGTATGTGGTTTTTCAGGCCTGAAAGCGGATACAGGTCTGGGTGTTGGGAAGCAAGCCGTCTTCTCGTGGAACCCACTTATGAGCCAGAAACGGAGTCGCGCGAAAAGCAGGATAAGCTGCCACATGCGTTGCTTTATTCAGCCATGCGGTAGGATCACTTCCATTTGCTTAAGTTTGTTTTTTAGTTTCCCATGTTGGTATTAGAGGGAATCTACCACTGGACACAGCTTGTCCTTTTTTTCCAGGGGATTGAGGGCAAAATGAACGGATGCCAAAAGGTGGTTGAAGCCAGAGCTGGGCAGCACCTTGAGCCAGTGACTGCCTTAGGTGGGATGTTTTGGGGGGGAGCCCAGATTTGGAGTGTTAACAATCCCACAATCTAATTGAGCCACATCACAACCCGGATTGAAGATTCGTTTGGGACGGTGCCAACCAGAAGGCGCGGCCACGTCTCTGTTTGATAGAGAGCTTTGTGTTGTTCTTTGCCATTGGCGACTTCACTTGGTTTTTGTTGTCAGCTATGTTCTTTTGACAGTGTGCCGGCGAAAATTTGTACCCCACGTTGCTACAAACTCCTTTTGCGTCGCCGGCACGGGCAACGGGACTTTGGTGCATTTCGACTTTAACTTTTTGCCAGCTAGTGGGTTTTCCGTATTAGACCCACTAAAGGTTAGTCACTTTTAGGGTTTTCCAAAAGCACATCAAAAAAAGGGACCCCTTTTGTGGTGGTAATAAGGGGCCCCCAAAAGGAACAGCCGCCATTTTTGTGGGGTCCCCTGAAAAGGACGAGCCGCGCCACGAGCGCAAGCCTTGCCGTCCATTTCGGCCAGGTCTCTTCTGAGCTTCCGGCCCACGAGCTCTACGAGCTCATCAGCTCCGGGGTGAAGGAGGGCGGGCCTTAGGAGGCTGGGGCTCAAAAAAGTGGAATTCCAAAAATGGGTTGCCCGATCGGTAAATGGAAAGACTAAAGCCTGCGTAAGCCTGGCTCACGAATTTTGAGCCATACCCAGGATTTGTTGATGGTTTGAAAAGCGGTTTGCTCCTGTTCCCAAGAACCTTTCCATGATTTTCCGGGCGGGTGGTACTTAATGCGGCTTTCTCCTGCGGAGTTTTCTTGGTGTTCCCAAGAGGTTTTCCTAAGCCTCCCAGCTGGTCAGTAGACTTGGCGGCTTCCTTGACGGGTTCCCAGGAGCTTTGTCTCAGTTTTCCCTACGTGTAACATGTGATCGCCCTCGTCTTCGTGTTTTCCTTTTCGGCTATATTTGATGCATGCATGAGGCTGTGTTCACTCAGATGGTTCCAGCTACATTCGGTTCGCCCCGATTCGCGCGCCCAGGAGCACCTCTCATTGGATGAGCTGGTGGAGGGCCTTTTCTTCCTCAGGCGCGCTCGCGCTCGCGCGAACGCCAAGTCCAGAGCCGGTTCCTAGTTCGGCTGCTGGGAAGGGGATGATGGACACTCGGGTCGGTCCATTCAATCTCTTTCCAGGCTGCAAAATAGACTCTAACGACTCGAAGTTGAGAAGTAAGGCGCCTCGATGAATCTACCAGGGAAATCCATCTATCTTCCGAAAAGGACACCTAGGTGTCTACCTGACTTCCGGGAGTAAGGGCGAACCAGAGGTCTCGGGTCTTTGCGCTTTAAATGACTTTCGAATCTTTTGAAAACTCCCTCCATCAAGGGAAAAGCACCATATGTTCGCTTTGGCTTCCCTTGAACCGCGATTTCAATCTTTGGCCATCAAAGTCATCGAAGACCGATTGTAGACTTGCGGTGTGCAAAAGGGTCCTTCGAATTGGGGAGGCTGTTTTGTTTTTTTCTCCTGGAGGGTATCCGAATTTGTTGTTCCCTTCAGGCACAAAAGGAATTGGCCGAGGCCCGTTTTTTTGGGTGTCCCCGAAGCTTGCCGACGTCAGGGCTCTCGGGAAGCCAGCTCGGCCGGCTAGTGGGGACCCTGGTAAGTGGGGGAAACTTCTCGGAGAGATCTCCGGGGTTTGGATGGCCGTGGTTGTCAAAACCGTTTTGGGCTCCCATTTTGGGTAGGTGAATTCAGCACCCATTTTTAGTCGGGAGTTTAGTGGGGATTGGGATGTTCACTGGGGGTACTGGATTTTGACCCATGGCCGGATGAGTTCGGATTTGGACTACTCGCAGGCCAAATTATCGGGAACTCCCGCTGAAGCACCGGCTTGGCTCAGCCCGCAAGATGAGTTTGGCGCATTTCAGGGCGAACTGGAGACCGCGAAAACATGAGACGCCATTGAGGTTGAGGGCTTGTCAGGTAAGGCCATCTGGCAAACTGAACTCCAAGACCTGGAGCTTCAAAAGTCAGCCATAGATCCCCGAAACAAAATAAATGTATATATATATATATACATTTAAACAAACATGTGTTTTTTTCCGCGTAGCCCGAGTTTTTTTTTGGGGAGGGGGGCTGCCACGTCAGTACACCTTAAGTCGAAGACGCGGCTCAAAGCGAAGCCTGTCCGAGTCGCCAGGGGCTCCAGTCTCCGAGTGCATTCGCTGCTGCTGCAGCAGGACCTCTCCGGGATCTCAGGTTGGCTTCTCACTGGAGAGCGGTTCCGTTGGTGCATTTTGCCAAGGGATGTCATCCACCTGGTACAAAAACGACCAGGACCATAGAGGAGTTTTGGGGCGCATGTGACTTTGGTGTTCATTTTGCCAAGGGATGCTAGGACTTTAACTTTTTTCGCCAACGAATGGGCTTTCCGTATTAAACCCCAATTGTAATGGGTTTTCCGTATTAAACTCACTAAAAGTTAAACACTTTTAGCAGGGGAGCAGAAAGCAAGCGAGTTTAGACAGGGCCCGTCCTCCATCTCCCTTTTTGGCTTGCCTCTAAGAGTGGCACTAAACAACTGGACAGTGAGTCGTCCTCCATCTCCTTTTTTAGCTCGTGACCCTGAAGTCTTCTCCCGCCAACTGCGCGAATCCACCCAGGTTTGGGCGCCGTGGCGTCAGGTTTTGGTTTCACGTGCACCCGCCGGAAAGTGCGGAAGAGGAGCTGAGTTCGCCGCATGTTCCGTTCGCTTCCGACCAGAACCTCCAGCCGAGTGCATTCGCCAAAAATGGCTCTGATCCATTCCCTTGGTCTTTCGGAAAGCCCTGGCTTTTGGGGCCGGGGGGGGGGGTAAAAAGGGGACCTTTTTGGGGGAACTAAAAGGTCTCGCCACAGGACGGGGAAAGACCACAACCAACAAATAAAACAGCGAAGTTTAATGGTCCAGGAAAGACCTGGCTAAGGTCGCTGCTTTTAATTTATTCGCTCGTGGTCTTTTCCATCCTCTCTGACGAGACGAAATTTTAGTCCCCCCAAAAAGGTCCCCTTTTTTATTCCCCCCGCATCTCCCTCTGCAAAAACCACCTAGGATCCACTGCTCAGGAAAGAAGAAAGACATGAACAGGGAACCAAGGAATCAACCCTTTGGACCATGAGTTCCTAAACCATTTTGCTTATTAAGAGGTGTGATGTTCTCTTGGTTTCAAAGGGAATCACTGGAAAGGTTTAGGAATTTAAAAGGAAATCCATCACCTTCAATTTGCAGATGATGCGTTGATTCTCTCCTGTTGGTTTTAAAGGGATTTATCACTGGACATTTGAGCAAACGGAGGTCACCGCTGGTTCTCCGGATGTGCCTTTTTGTTGGACCCCCAACACGGATTTCGGTGTTCCTTTTGGTTTCCCCTTAAAACCCATCCCCAAAAACGGGGGTGCCCTAGAAAAAGGCCGAGCCACTTTTTTGGGGGGGTTCCTTCATGCTCCCTTTTCAGCCTGCAAGTTGACTTGAGGGATGGAGAAGACTCCTGAGGACCCGAATCCCGAAGGGCAATCGAGCAAATGGAGGCCAACGTTCACGTGTGGCTTCAAAGCGAAACAACTTGCTTGCGTCGAGGGAAAGCAACCCCAGTAGATGTTTCAGGCAAGCCCAGAAAAGGCCGCCCTTCGCCATCTTCCTCTTTTTTCAAGTGGCAAGCCGGTTGTTCCTTGGTGGCCTCTACAAAGGGATTCACCTGGAAAGGGATTGAGCCTCAGGACCTGCGCCGCTACAGCGCGGAGGAGCTGGAGAGCCTCAAGGAGCGAGGGGCGGGCCTCGGGGCCCTCTTGACCTGGTAAAACCCCACAGCCAGAGGGTCCCTTGGTACCTTTTAAGGAGGTACTCAGACCCCTTTTTACGCCCCAAAAGCAATCCTCAGGAGGTAGGATTCTCTGGGAGAGCCGAGCCGCGGTGTTTTCTTTGCAGAACGGAAGGACACCCCCGTGTCTTTTTGGGGAGCTTGACAAAAAGATGCTAGACAACTAGGTGGGTTGTTTAAAACCAGCCCGGCTGAACCGTTTTGTGGGTGAGCCAGACATGGCGATAGTCATTCGGGTCCCAACTGCTTTTTGGGCGAAGCCGGATCCCAAGTTGGGATGTTGGTTGCATGTGTTGAAGAAGCCAAGTTGGGACCTAGCTGCAGGCAGGCGTCCAGTTCTTTTTTATGAATCAGGACGGAACAAATGGGAGCCACCGGTTTGGAGATGGGTTGTCTGATGGGGTGAACCGATGAGTCTCCAGAGAATGGCAGTTTCCCTTCGTGAAGAAACACCCGATTTGGATTTTTCGGGATTGGTAGAGCCCGCAAACCCTGCGGTTCTTCAAGAACCCCCCCTTCAAACACTGGAACTCAGGCCCCTTTCCTAGACGACAGTAATCGTTCAATGCACTTCCATGGTATGCCAAGGCAATCTGGAACCCACCAGAAGATTCCTTTAACAGGGCAATGGTCTTCCAGCCTCCTTTTGGTTTCCCTTTCAAAGAATTGCAGGGAGTGGCTGCCTGGGCAAGTTGTGCAACCACCCCTGACCCGAACCAACCGGTAAGGGTCCGGGAGCACCATTTTTGTTCGGGGTCGATTCCATTTCCATTTCTCGTCAGCTCGCCCAGGTGGCGGAAAAAACAAAAAAAACATCGAACATGTACGAGTATTATGGGATGATCCCAAACTCAGCCAAAAGGGGGGTTCCAAATCCAAGCAGGTTGCTGAAAGAGTTCATGGGGGTTGATCAAAAGGTCCTTCGACATGGGATGACCATTGGTTGGAAAATCACTCAACAGACACAGCGCCTCGTGTTCGGTTTTCAAAGCCTGCTGAAGATTGTTTGTTCTGATTAGAAGTGGGAATCAGCCCTCCAAGTGGCTGGCTGGTTTCCGGTTGTAAAGGAATGGCTGGCATTTGTTGCCGAAGGAGTTCATTAGCTCTGGACCCATGCAGACCGGAGTTCATTCCCTATGGACCCATGCAGACTCCCGTCCAAACAGGGAACGAGCGGCCAAAAGTGTCACATCTGTGGGGCGGAAGGCATTTTCGGACCGCAGAAAAAGTAAGTCCACTATAAAAAAGGGGAGTATGCGCCACATGGCTGTGGTTGTCAACACCGTTTTGGGATCCCATTTTGGTTGGTAGGTGAATTCACCACCCAGTTTAGAACCTATTTTGCTGGGGATTGGGATGTTCACTGGGGGTACGATTTGGCTACCCAAGGCCACATGTTCCCCTAGCGGCTTGGAGGTCGTGGACACCGTCTTGTCGAAACGGAGTTGGAGCGCCTCTGCGAAGACCGTCGCTTTGCCCCCTTCGCTGCGGCCACTGTTTCATTGAACGTGTGTGGCATGGTTTCATCTTCCAAAACGAGCCTAACGCTTCCCTTTGGATGGGCGTACTCTTTCATGTTCATGCGAGTCACAATCAAAGCCCGGCCCCTTGCCATAAGCAGCTGCCGCCTTCTTAATTATTTACGTGGTCTGGGATGACCATTTTAATACCAGGCTTTGATTATGACAAGCCCCTCAGGTCCCCCAGTGCCCTTTCTCACCCCTATTTTCCTTGGGAGGTTTCCCCTACTAAAGTAGACTAAAAAGAAAAAGATCCCCTACTAAAAAAGACCAAACCGAGAAAAAAACAATCGGGAGCCCAACAATTCTGACCTCTTAAATCTGGAGGACCGAGTTAGTGTTGCCTTTACCAACTCAAACGGGCTGCAACGCCTAGCCCAGGCGGCCATTTTAATACCGGTGGGCTTACGACCATCTTAGTACCGGGTTTTGATTCTGACTCCTGTTCTTTTAGAAGGGTTCCCCTTCTAAAATAGAGAAAAACAGACAAAGTTGGTACCCAAAATTTCTGACCTCTCAAATCTGGAGGACCTCGCCCTCAAGAGGGGCCCTCGGATCCCCCGATCCACCGATCCACTCAACCGATCGGTGAGGAGCTGCAGGCGGAGGTGCGGGAGAAGACCCAGGAGGAGCTCGGCGCGCTGCAGGAGGCCTTTGTCGAGGACCGGGGAGTCCAACTCCAGCGAAGCAAGCGGAACAACCCGGGGCCCCTGAGCTGGGTGGTTTTGAGTTTATCCGGGTCAACTTAGGTTTGTTTTGTTGTTTTCTTTTTAGTGTTTAGTGGTTGGGTTTCCATTTAAGTTTCAAGCTGCCATCCGAGTCAATCTAGGGTTTTTAGATTTGTTTAGCTGGTTCAGTAATTAAATTTTCGAATTCAAGCCGCCAAAAGCTGTTCACTTTTAGCGCGGGATTCTGAGGACAGCCCAGTAAGGCGGTTCCCATTGTGGATTCAAGCATCTGAGCAGTTCCCTTTTTGGGATGGGTCCAGGGGGAACCGCCGGTAACTTGATCGGCTTTTGAAGGACCCCCTGAAAGGACAGGGTTCCCGTTGCATTTGTTCCAGGGTGGTTTCAATCATCTCCTTTTGGTTGCCAGTTTAAAGTGAGTTCCTTGGGTGAAGACATAGAAGGAACCTAATAAGTTGACATGGAGTTGGCGTGGCACCATGCTTTGATCGGATGGGACATCTACCGGAGGATACCAGAGTTGCCCTTTAAAACCACCAAGAAAGCCCCCCCAAAAAAAAATCAAAAAAAAACAACAACAAGAAGACACCCATTTGGGGTTTCTTTCATGCTCCCTTTTCAACCGCCAAAAGGTTGACTTGCAGGGGGTCTAGGTCTGGAGAAGACTCTACGATGCTTACCGCACCCGAATCCGAATGGTGGAACCCCGGCCGCAAGGCCGGGACTTGGAAAGGTGGCATGGGTGCTTCTCAAAATGAGGGGGAAGCTTTTTTTGGGTAAAGGGAACCTCGTTAAACAAAAGACACACCCGCTGGTAGTCCAAAATGAGACTCCATTTCCTAGCATGGGATTTTTCTGGAGTTGGCCCTGTTGTTTCCAAACACTACCATGTTGATTCTTCGACCTCCATTTTGCCGGTTGGTTTAATCCAAAAAGCAAACCGGGGCTGAGATGGCGTGAGCCTTTTGATGTCGAGTTTGAGCCCCGCCCTTGGGATTTGTGCAGGCCCGTCAGTTTTGCGCAGAAATCCAGGTGCAGTGAAGCTCCTCAGGGGGTTTCTCAGAGTGTGTTTGTGTTTGTTGGGCCCACTAACATGCAAAAACTCATGTCCAAGCTCCCGACAAAGGGGCCACCGCGCCTCCAACAAAAAGACGAGCCACCCTAATCAGAAAAATTGGTGCGGCCGCCCTTTAATTTCCTTGCATGGTTGTGGGAAGCCTGTTTCAACACCAGGTTTTCAAATGGGTATGGGTCAAAATTTAGCCAGGAATTGGACCGCAGGTTTTAGTCCATGTTTCCATTTCCATTGGAAAACCATTTTGGGGTTACCCTATTTTTGACCCACCAAATGGAACACCCAGGAGCTCGCCAAAGTCCGGCTTTGTGCGGACCACGACCACTCCGCAGACGAAGGCCATCTTAGTTTTGTTTTGGGCGCGTGTTTCGGCCAAGGCGGCTGTGGTTTTGGGTTTGGGTTCCTTTGCGGGCGTCTTGCTTGTTCTATTTGTTGTTTGCTTTTTATTTATTTTTATGTGTGTGTGTGTGCTTTTGGTTGGTTGCGTGTTTTTTCAGGTTTGCTCGTTTTGCTTGTTCTTTTGTTTGTCTTTTCCTGTGTCGGGTCGGACAAGCCTTCTTTTTGCTTATCCTTGTTTTTTTTTTTCTCAACTTCCAGTCATTCTCCCTCGGGCTTTGGGCGGTGTTCTGGAGCCACGGTTGCCCGTGCAGGATGGTTGTAAGTTCAACACCTCAAAGGGTGGACCAAAATAAAGATCAGATTCTCCCAAGACCTCAACTTTTGGCGAGGTGCAGCTTACTCAAAGCTTTTGGCTGTAATGCCAACGAAAGCCACGCTCATGTGCAAACTTGGGATATGTCCCCTGAGAGCCTCACCCCTCAAAAACCCGTGGAGTGAAAGTCAGGCCAAAGTTTATTCCCATGTATATTTCTGGCCATTTGGTCCATTGGACTTGAATGTTGTTGGTCGAAAAACACTGGATTGTCCCATCTCTCCCGCAACAAGGGGAATATGTATTACACGTTTTGCGGGTTCAACCCCCAGCGCCGCAGAAAACCGCCCCGTTTCCCCAGCGCCTCAGCTCGGCGAGGGGTGCAGCGCTCGTCCTGGGAAGCGGAGATCGCGAACTTGGAGCGCCTGGCGCAGGAGTTGGAGTCGGGGGGCCCGGAGGGCCGGTGCAGGGGGCGGGTTCAGGGGGTGGGGTCCCGGGGAGTGGTGGAAATTGGTGTGAAAGACTTGTTTGGACACTTTGAGTCGTTTTTTTTCTTGGGACGCGTGACGCTTTGGCTCGAATCTTGTTCAGGATTCATTTGTTAGGCACGTGGCCTGCTAATCAACCACCATTCAGAGGATTATTTGGATGGACGGAAGTGGTATGATGGACGTGAAATTCATACCAATGGTGTTGCGGATTGAGCTTCCGCCCGTTTTTTTGAGGGTCCGGCCCCTGTTTTGGGGTGGTTCCAAAGCTCAGAATTGGGATTGGGTGTATCTTTTGCTGGGCCCCCCAAATTTTGGGGTGGTTGGGGGTTTCAAAGAGAAGCCAGATCCACTTCTGGGGTCCTGGGGTTGGAGGTTAGGGGCTGAGCCCAGAGAGACCGGTCCTTGGGAGGTGGAGACAGGTGGAGAGGGCGTTGCTTGCCGTAGCATTGAATCAGGAGTCCTGGGCTACCAAGAAGGGAACCAAAAGGAGGCCCAGACTTGTCAAAGCATGTCTAACCCTACAAAATAATCCATGGTCGTTGGATTCAACATGTGGCCGTTCCCCTTAAGAGGGTCCGCTCAAACTCCAGTCTACGGAATCCCCGATGGGGTAGGTAGTTGAGAGCTGTAGCCTTTCTTAAGGGGTTTCTTGGGGTTCCTTGGGGCCAGGGACTGCCCTCTTTTGGACCCTTCCCCTTCAATGGCAAGGGTCCAGCTCGCGGGGAAGACCCACGGCTTGAAAGTGTGGTTTTAGGGCGTGTTGCACTGAGTCTCAGAGTTGTTTTGATACAGGCACTGGTTACGGTCTTTGTTATGTTGCTTTCACTGGGTGGACCAGTGCTATTTTGTATGTTTGGTGTATTTCGCCAGTTCGCTTGGTTGCTTTGCTTCTGTCCGGTTTGTCTCATGTATTTGTTTATTTGTTGCCTTGGGCTTCCTCTAGTTAGTTGTCTTTTGGGAACGGGGGGAACCCCGCCCGATCTCTCGATCTCTTTCCGCAGTCAGGTCGCTGAAGCTGTCAGCCACTGGCAAAGCGCTGGCAGCTCCGACGGCAGAGCCTGCGGCTCCGCCCGAAGCAGCGGAAGTCTCGCCCCGTAGCGGGCCGGAAATGGGGTGACTGCGTGCGGCTTGGGGTCTTCCATTTGGCCCACGAAAAGTTGAACTTTTACCAGCGGGATCTGAGGACAGCCCAGTCAAAGCAACGCATGGGGGTTGATAAAAGAGTCCCGAGCCTCAAAAGAAATGTAAGCATTTCTTGTTCTGGGCGTTGATCAATACTCCGTTCGTATGAGTGCCAGGTGGGCAATATCAAATCTTCTCATTTGGGTTAACCACTTAAAAAGACTGTTCAACCACATGGGCAAAGTTACCCATCATTTGTGGGCCTTGCACGGAATATTGGTCAACCCCATATCTCTGCTCTTTTTTTTTTCGTGTTTGCCTCGGGGAAAGAAACACCTTTTTTTGTTGGGGCTCCTATGTTGACACATCATCAATACGTATCCTACGCCCTGTGGAAGTTGACCACCCCGGCGTTGGAGACGTGCCAGGCTCAGGGGTGGATTTTCCAGTTCCATCCTGAACCTGGGCCTTCGCAAGAAGCGGTGTTCAACGGTGTTTGAACTCAGAAGAAGACAGCCGGTCCAAGAACAGGTCCCACGGTTTTCTAAAAATCAGGTGCGCCGGCCGTTTTCTGAGTACAACCTCTGCCAAAAAAAGGGGAAATCCGCTTGGCACGTCTGTGGAGGGTGGGGTGGGGGGTGGGGGGTGGGGCCAAATGACCCCGGCAATGTGCACCTCGTAGGTCCCTGGCTGAGGATCTCCGATGCAGAAATGCAAATATGTCATGGAAGAGGTACCTGGAGTCTCCATGACCCTTTAAAAATGGGTCAACGACCCTGTTACTTTAGGTAATGACCAACCATTTTTTAAGGGTCATGGAGACTCAAGGTCGATGTTTTCCGAATTTCCTGCTGGAAACATTTTACGATGTTCCACAATCAGCGAAGCGCACTTGCTTTCTCTACCTGAGAGAGTTACAAGTAATGCACGCGCCTTGAGCCAAATGGCAGGCAGATTGCATCATGAGTGGAATACTTGTGCAGCAAGCACAGAAAGAAAGAGGAACAAGGGGAGGGCGGTGCAAAAGGGGCTGCGTCAAATTGAAAAACATGTCAGAGCTAGGAGTTGTCCTCGTTGGTTTCCTCGGATTGTTGGTGGCTCATGTTGTTCCCCTTCCAAACCCCTAACCAGAATAGGGTCCAAAAGCTGTTGTCGTAGCCGCGCTGAGCAAATTGGTAGCCCGTTAAACCCGGCTGTGCCCAGTGGATTCATTCCCCGCAACGCTTTGATTCTTTGCAGTTTCCGAGCTTTTTTCATTCACCAGTGGACTACGGAATCCGAATGGGTTTCATGAGGCTCACATGTTAGGCACCTGGCTTTCTCCTTCCAGGAAAGCCAAATGTTGGTCCATATTTTTTTGAGGCTACCCGTTTTGGGTTTGTTCAAACGCAAGTCAAAGGGAACCTGCCATCTTGGTGATATGTAGACCCATTCTTTCCAGAGATCCAAATCTTCAGGAGAGCAACATCCCAGCGTTTCTTTGTGCAAGCACGGTGGTTGAAAAGAAGGGGAAACAACCCCTAGAAATGTAAGGGCTGATGTTCATCCCGGCCGGATCTCCCGCATTCGAAGCAGAAGATTGTCGAACGCCAATCTTCCAACAGACTTGCAAAGGCGCGGGCCAAAAGGTCCGTTGCACATCCGGCGTGCCTTTTTTTGAGGAACCTCCCCTCGCCCCCCCCCCCCGAGCCCGTATTTGGGTGGGTTGAGGGAACACCCACCCATTTCGGTTAGGTTTGAGGGACGTAAGGGATGCAAGGCATGCAAGAGATGCATGAATTGCAAGGGATGTATGCGTTGCAGATGTATGGAA